GGGGAAAAAATCACTGTATTTTTCATTGCAAGATCTACAGGGTGTCAAAAAAAAAGGACCAGCTGAAGCTAGGTGGTAAATTCAAGTTGAACAAAAAGAGATGGTCCTCATTCACTTACTGCTATGGGCCATTGAAGATCATAGCAGCTTACAAAAGTTCATAAAGAAATTGGATGAGTTCATGGATGAAAAATCCATCTTGGGCTATGAAACAGAAGCCACTCCTGCTGGCTCAGGAAGCACCTGCACCACAAATCACTGAAGTTGCAAGACTGGCCAGGGTATTGTCATTATATGCATGTCCTGTTTCTATGCTTTCTCTTAAGCTTCTTCTAGTTCACAGACTTGGACACAGGCTTCTGGACCTTTGATCTGATCAGTTTATAATTATTATCATACTCCCACAATCTACAGAGAGTCTTGGCCAAACCTACAATATCTGAGTAGCATACATAATTTGTAAAATTATAATATAAGTAAATAAATAATTGAAGGCAGACACAAAATTTTTAAAGTTATTGATATGTTAAAATTCACTTAAATCATTCCATACAAGCCATTTCCCACTTATCACTTGGCTACACTTAATTACTTTTACTAACCTGCCCACATACTTATCTTTCTTATTGTTGCAGTGTAGTATGAAGCAGATCTGTGAAATAACTGGTGGAATATAGCTAGGGGTGGGAGGTTTGGGTTCAAAGTTTGCAGCTTGGTTCTGCTCCCTTTTAAAAAAAGATAAACAATCTAATCTACATTCTAATGCCTCTATTGGCTAGCGTGGTTCTGGTAAAACTATTTGCAGTGTATGTGTAAGTTTCTTAAAACCCCAGTCTGTCAGATAAAATAGAAATAACCCTTTACACTTCACAGCAAAGACTGTTCCTGGACCAGGTACCCAACTCAACCAGTGGTCCAGGAAGTGACCTTGCTGTGGTCTCCTCTGCCTTGCTCACACCTAGATTTCAGTGTCTGACAGATGCTGTGCTCATTGTGTCTATATTTGCGCCCTATGCAAAGCACATCTCATTAAACCGAACAGACTCCAGCAGAGGCTGAGGCACAGCTGTGCAGTGATTCCCAGAAGAAGAGGTCCCAGCTGGCTTTGGCCCAGACTGTTCCTGGAACATGAATAAAGTTGTCAAGGGTCTGCACAGCTGGCAGCACGTGTGTGGACACTCCCTTTGGGAGGGGAGTTTTTGGGGTCAGGAAGCTTTCCTATGGGGACTCAAGTCTTGCTTGATTTGTCAGTTCAGCTGCAAGTTGAGATGCAAAACTATTTGCAAAACAGAAGATGGGCTGAGAACCCACTAAAGGCAAGGAAGTCCTTCCTTTTATGTTGACAGAGTTTGGATCAGGCCTGCTGTGCCTGACCAGTTTGGTGTTTGAAGCTCCAGAACTCCTAAAAGAACATAAAAACCATCTGTTAGTTCTGTGAAGAGCAAAGGCTCTTGCCTGAAGCACATAGGTGTACCACGCATTTTAACAGATGTTTTGTGAGCTACTGTGGCAAAAAGATACCAAAAAATCAATTAAATTTAAGGAAAGTAGCTTTTCGGATGAGAAAAGTGGGAGTTTAAAATGATTACTCATTTCTGGATCTGTTTTCCTCACCAGGGTAACACAGCACTGCAACTGATAATGCAATAGTTTGCAAAACCCGAAGAGACCAACTGCACTATTTGTTGTTCCCTAAAGCTCCCAAGCAACAGCCCTGCAAGCTGCAGCTGACATTCGTGGCTTTCATATGCCAGAACTGTGTGAAAGTCTTAGAGCCAATTGTGATTTGTCTGTTGTTTCATGTTACGAGAGCTGTACCAGTATTCCAGTACAATATTCATGTCATGCAAATGTATTAAGTTTTTACATCCTTGTGTCTGTTAAAGTGTATTAGTAGAACAGACATATTGTACTGTTGTACTCAGGTCTTCAAAGAATCCCTAAATTTTCCAAAACCATTAAATTCCCAGAAACATTCAACTTAACCAAAAATGTTCAGACTATCCAAAACATTTTTTAATCAGGTGAACCGTAAAAAAATCCAAACTTTTGGTTTTGTTTTGTATTTTTAAATATGGCTGAATTTTATAGAAATACTCAAAATTTCATGTAACATGTAACAGGTTTTTGAATGGTAAGGACGTAAATAACAAAAGGTTGCAAATAGCATTGTTCCTAATATCCTAACTGTGCAGCTTTCAGAAATTTTCTTCGGGCAAAATGTGGGCATAGGAAATATTTTGTAATGCTCTTTCCCCTCTTTTTTAGAATATTTATAGTTGGCTTGCTGATATTGGGGTAGAGTTTAAGCAGAGAGGAGAGACTTTATTTTCTGTCAACTGTGGGTAAGTACTATCTACTTCAGAGGGTACTGTGGGGCTTAATTAATGTTTACAGTGCCTCAGGAGTCCTAACCACATTAAAGGTATAATAATAATTATTCCTAATTAACTTCCTACTAAAAAAGCAAAGTTTCATGAAGTTTTAAAGCAGAACAGTGGATGAATTTGTAAACTCCATTTATTTGGGTCCCTGGAGGAGGAAAAGTTAGTGGGGAAAGTGGTAAAAATCTTCAATTAATTTTCCTCAACCTGAGGGATTTAATTAAGATGTTCGAAAAAATGTGCACGTTTCCTGTGGGTATTTCTTATTTAATGTTCAGTTTCTCAAAGACAGATCTTGAAGCTTAGAACAGATTTTGTATGCCACAAAGAGACTAATTCAAAAGTAGATGTTAGTTTCTTAAAGTTGAACTGGCTACAGATCAAATTATCTAGACAAAGTTCAATGGCTACATGCAGCACTTTATACTCTTTACATTCTTTAGTTTCCTTGCTTTGAATTTCTTTAAAAAGGATTGCTTAGGATTGCAGAATATGTCTTGCTGGCATAACTCAAGCACCATGTAGAGATACCTGAGCTACCTGTGAAAGATCTGAATTAAGTGTTGGAAGCTACACAGCTCTGCTAGCTGAGAAAAATATCTGAATTAATTAGTCCTTGGGAGAAGAGAAATATACTAGTTTCAGTGGGGCACAACATAACACTGTGAGACCAAAGCTACCTACTCTAGACATATCCTCTAGGAATATATTTCCAGCTGAAAAGTAGGAAATTATTAAAAGGGCCCACGGCACTGCATGGATTTCAGTACACCAAAAAGAAGCACTTGCCCTATGCCCTCAGGGTGCATCTCCAATCACAGATAGGAGAAGACTTACTTCCATGTGCAGAGCTATAGGTTGTGACCAGACTGAACCTTAACTGATGCTGACTTTATCTGTACCCTTCAAACCAACCTATGTTTGCTGCAAAAGTCCCATTTCCTTGAGGAATGGTCACCATGTGGCATGTGGGGGACAAAAGACTGTATTTTGAAAGACATCAGGTTTCATGAGTTTATCCATTGAGAAAACAGAAATTAAAAACAGCATAAATAAGGATGATTGAAGACCAAAGAAAAAAGAAACAGTTAGAGATCAAGAAATTAGATTGTTGTCTTGGAGACCATGTGTGTGAGCTTTAGAAGCCAAAGTACTTTCCTCAAAACCACATCCGGACAGGCAGGGGTCTATGTGCAGTTCCAAGGGGGAGTCCTGGCTCTGGGCAGTGCTTCTTCCCTCTTTTCAGCAGCCTGGTTTTCCAGCTCCTCTGCTTCTCTCACAACGCCACGGAATGCTCAGTATTTGTCATCAGGCGCTGTCACTTCACTGAACCTGAAGGCATTCTCTCCTTCCACGGAAAATATCAGCAGTGTCCAGTATCACTGGTTCTCCCCACACCAAGAGGAGTCTGGTGAATGGGACTCGCAGCTCCGTGGTGGTAAGTCTTCATGTTTCCTGCCAGCAACCTGCTTAATTTAGACATGTGAAAATACCTATGGAAGTAAATGCTTAAGGCTAAGATTTTCAAAATAAGCGTGAAGGAATTAAACACCCAACTCCTACAGACTTTCTCAGTCTAACTGCTTTTCTGGATTGGGGCCACAGTGCTAATCAACTTGTAATCCTGAGTTTGTAATGAGGGACTTATATCCCAACTGCTCCAGTGTGCTGCTTGCCTTCTCATTTGACTTTGGCCAAAAGCATGCAATAGCATCTCTGGTTTTGAAATACTGAGATTTCACAAATGTTATATCTTTTTGGATAGGTTTTTTGTCTGATGTGCAGCACAGCCTGCAAAAATATATCCGCTATCATGTAGAATTCCAAAAAGTGTGGTAATATCTGTCTAACACAACATCTGTCTAGCATTAAATCTGAAGAATTGGAACCATTTGTTTGATGAGCCATGTAACAAAGATGAAAATTCATTCTTGGGATATCAATGGGGAAATTATTTTTTTCTTTTCAATGAAATGTGAGATGATTTCAACCAAAAATTATGTCTGCCAGCAGATATAAGCCTTCAGGCAGCTTATAAAATGTTTATAAAAATAAAACACAGACTCATTAGAAGACTTTGGGGGGAAAATGCAAATAGTACAAGATTTATATGCTGTTTAGCCATATACAGGTGCTTCTGATGAAAAGAACCAACAGAAAACTTGAGGGCATTTCTGCAGACTGCATGCTTCCTGCCACACAATAGGTTGCTTGTCCTTATATTTTATGCACAAATATTTTGAGCCTACAAATACTGTGTGAGTTTGCTACAGGAATAACTAGGGAAATGCAAAAAGTGTTCCCTCAGAGGTACTAGACCTAGATTTCTGGACACCCTCCTCTACAGATGATCAAGCAACCAACAAACATGCCAATGCAGCAAAACCAACCTCCATGAAATCATACCAGCTTGGATGGGATTCAGTGAAGTAGATGATTTGGGAATAAAAAATTACTGACAAAAAGAAGTACAACAAACACAGGATAAGATGCCAGTACCGCAGGCTGTTGTCAGACTTGACAGGGTTTTTACAGAGGTCAGGACAAGTTGGCTGTGAGTAGCTGTACACACAAGGGAGATGGAGCATCCTTTACTGCATCTAGGCTGCTTAGGCTGCTGGGAGAGAGCAGTCAGGCAGAGGGGAGCAGATGAAATTTGTCAGCAACATGGCAGTATTGACAGGTGGAAGTGGCAGTATTTTCTCCTCCAGAAAACATTTAAAACCCACCCCAACAACCTATTTGGCTTTGGATGCAAAGCATAAAGGAAATTAATGGTGCTGTTTTACCAAAGTCATTGCATCTTACCAATAATGAGAAGCTCTCTGGATCAATGTAAAATTTCAAAACCGAGTTCTCCTTTGACAACTTACTGAGCTTTTTCTCTGGTTTCTGGATAGTGTCAAATATAGTATGATCTTTCTTGCTTCTCTCTAGCTTAAAGCATAACTCTGTGTTCAGCTGACTAGATGTCATGTATTAATAGTTTCCATTGGAGGTACTGTTAATTTCTCATTAGTTCTTTTGTCTATTCTATTAACAAAATAAACATTATTTAAATAGTAAAGATAAATTTTTATAAGCTGTTCAGGAAAAATATTAAAAAGTCTTTGTTTCAGACAGTAATGGACCCAGGATTATTTGTTTCCCGGTTGTTCAGGACATGTTTAAATGCCTTTTTTATGTCTTCCATTATAACTGAGAAAATAAAACATGTCTGTTAGAAACTAAATAATGCTTATTTATGACCCACCTCTAGGGGTTTTTTTCACTCCCATTGTTCTCATTTTATTTAGTACAATTAAAATACAAAGGACAATGGCTATCCATAGCTTTTGGCACATTACCAGTTATTTAAAACACAAGTCCAACACAGCAGAGCTCACGCAAAACAAAATTAAATTAACTTAGCCAGCTAGTAATTCAAAGCAGTAAAATGTATCCTGTCCCATTCATTCCCTCAATTCTTCCCAAAAAGCCTTAGGAAATAGACTGTCTTTGTAGTTTGCTTTAAAGGTCGAAAGACTATGTTTGAAACTTTTTGCCTCTTTTAAAATGAGGAGACTTATGCTCGCATCTCTCTGGTGACACCAGGACCAGTTATGTCAGCAAAATCTGAAAGAAACAGTAAGGCAGCACTTAACAATACCTTAGCATCCAGCCAAGAAAATCCAGCCGCCAAAAACCAAGGGACACAGATCTTACAAGCTTGTGGAAAAATACTGTTACACAACTCAGTCAGTTGATTGCTGGCTCAGCACAACTGGGCACAAAAATGATGGAGTCTGGGTAAAGCTCATTCAGTGGAAATAAATTCATACAGTGATTAGGGATGTAATTTTTTTTTTTTTTTTCAGTTTGGCCACTGGAGCAAATGAATTTCAGTCCCCCAGAAACCTTCTTCCTCCTCATCTCCCATCTCTCTGCATTCCCCCCTATATGGGGTTCAGGACCTGCTGTTCCGGCTGGGCACCTGGCTCCCAAACACTCTTGCTGGTCCCAATGCCACTGCTTCATTTTGTACAGCTTAAACAGCTTAAAAAGCCACCAGCACGAGGCCTCCACTACATTGGCTTGCCTCTTTTGGTGTACACCCAACAGCCACAGGCTCTGGAGCCATCCTTTCTTGACCAGCCCATAGCAGGAACAGAGATTTGGCCCTTCCTTGATGCGCCCAGGGATTTTTAGTGTATTTTTAGTGTATTTTTAGTGTATTTTTAGTGTATTTTTAGTGTATTTTTAGTGTATTTTTTTTATCTTGAAAAATTTTTCTCTGGGGATGTACTTTTGGACTAGATTCTGCTCCTGTCCATCTGAAGCCACCTGTGCACTATGGGTGGTATGTGCTCTAGAAATCTCTGCCCTACAGCATGGTGGTGGAGTCCATTTTACAGGGCTGGGGAGTCCATTACAGTGACTGGTATGTTCAAATCTCCTAAGGCAGAAGACAGAGCTGAAGCTGAGGTTTGCACAGATTTGATGAATGTTCAGATCTCTGGATGACTGTGGAGGCCATCACCATCCACAAACTCACACCTAGACCTGAGGAAATAAATTTATACATATCTACCTATGAGGACAGCAAAAAAACCCCCACAAAAACCCCCCACCTTAAACAGCTCTACAGATGTGGTTTTGATTCAAGCGTATTTTCGGGCCAACAAAAATCATTTCATGAATAATCTATTTGTTGGAAATAAATGCCTAGAGCCAACTCTTTTCCTGCTGCTGAAATAAACAATTCCCCTTTTTCCCTGGGGCAGGACTCACACCCACATGCTTTCAGGCTTCCTTCCTGAATTGCCTCCTCAGACAGCATCCATCTCTGATGAGAGGGGCCACACCTGAGAGTGGTATCTGTAAATATGCCAAGAAACACCCACTTCCACATCCCCAGAGTGCCCCTTGTTGCACTTTGATCCTTAACCATTGACCTGTCATGGTCTCTGCCAGTTACAGTTTGCAGCCCTCACTGCCTGCAAAGCTTCTGGACCAAACTCATGGGGCTAAAGGAAACCTCAATATCTGGAAACATCTTGCAGGAGCAACATGAAACAGCTATCATGACCACTCCTGTGTGTTTGTTTTTTAAGGTTAGGAAGGGCATTTTCCGAGGCCCAGCTATTATGCTTTCTTTGTGTTCTGCCTCTCTGAAGTCTGCTTAAGATTTCCTTACTACGTGTCCTAATTTTTCGGTTTCTTAACACAAAATATGCAGCTACCCCGTCTCAAATAGGAATTCAGAGAATTAATAAATGTGTATACCCTTTCCTATCCCCCAAAGATATTCCAGGAACTGTGTTTTGTATGTAAAACTGTGAGATCTTTGGGGAAAACAAATAGAAATTGCAGAAACAGAGTCCTGTGGACAAAATTTTCCAAAAATCTCCCTTTTTTGTGCTACTGAGATGTCAGATTAGAAAAATTTATTCTCTTTGATAGCAGCTGAGAAGCATTGAGGTGACCAGGAATAACACTCTCCTCTTGGAGCTGTGGATGTAAATCACAGCAAACCTCAATGGACTTGCCCCCATAACATCAGACTCTCATGCTCTTACAGCAAGTCAGTGCTAACATATCATCCAGGACAGGTATAAGGGATTTCTGCTGCACATCACTCAGCATATGAATTTTCAGGGGGAGAAAGAGTTTAGCTCTTCTCTGAAGTGAATTTGCAGTTTTTGCTCTCTTTATTAAAGCAGGGTGTTATTTTCCCAGACTGAAGTGGATTAGAAGTACAATGGCTTCAGTGAAAGCTGAGAATAATTTCTCTGTGATGCATTAGTAGGATGACAGAGGACTGAAAGGTTTAGTAGGGGTGATTCTCAAAATTACTTCACACATGCAAGAGTAAAGCATCAAAACAGAAATTTAAAAATCTATTGACCCATAGAAAATTATGTTCCCAAACATATTTTTACCACAATGACAGTTGACCAAATATTGCATTTTGGAATATATATTCCCACCCTTGGATGTAGAAAAGAAACAAAAATTCTCTACGTTCTCCACATGGACATTTTTTGGTGTAATTCTTTTTTATTGCAGCAGGAGAATAGTTTTGAAATGGCACTCTTTTCCCACAGAAAATAGCATTGTCTGAGTGTCATACTTGGTCTAGTAGTATCTATAGCAGTACCTATAGCAACATATGGCTAAACTTAAGACATCTTAGTGTAAAAGCAAAGTCAATTATATGTTTAATTTGGCACTTGTACCTAAAATAAATGCCAGGGCTATGCTTCAGTGGAGTATACACAGGAATTGGCTTCTGTTGCACAGCTTCTGTTAAACAGCCACCTTTGCCAGGTTTAGTGACTCAATATTACTTATTTCCTGGTAAAATTAACTTCTGGTTTTACGGGTATTTTTTGTTTCTCTTCTGTAATCAGCACAGATTTCAAGAACACAGTCCTTTAGACCCTCCTCAGGCAAAAGGACCACTGAAGAAAACTGACATTTTGGTGCAGTGGGGACCTAAATCCATGCTGATATAACACTGCTGCAAAGAATAAAAGTTAAAACAATGGCTAATTGTATTCAGGAAAATAGGCTGGAAATTAGGACATACAAACTTTAAATATTTTTCTTCTATACTTCATAAATACAAGGATTTGGACAACACTAGTGAGATGCAGAAGATTAATACCAATTAATCCTCCCTTGTGCAAACTTGAAGGTGTTACTATACCAGTGTTTTCTGATGGCCAGGAAACAGATTCTTCAGGACAGCTTCCTTTTGCCGACTGGCAGGAAATAATAGAATATTTTTATTGCTGCTGTGTTAAAATCTGAGACACTCCAAGAAGGGAGCCAGATAAGAATAGTCTTTTTTCCCTTCTTTCCAATGTCTTTATTTCTAACTTTACCATGATGTGACTAAAAGCTTATTTAAATAACTTGTGAAAAAGATTACAATTACAAGCAGTTTCATACTGAACACAGATTTTTTTGAAAATCAAAATTAGATCAGCTGCCTGGGGAAATTTTCCACTATGTTATTTGTAACAGATTCAAGTTCTTCCTGTTAGTGCCTTCCCTTGTAAGGAGCCTCAATATCTTTAGCCTGGAATGTGCACAGAAAGAAAGGCACTTATTACAGAAGATATCTGGTTAGTTCTCATTTTAAAAAGTGAATACTTAAGTCCTGTAAAAGTCTCAGTCTCTCAGGTTTGCAGCAAAGGTTGAACTGCTTTCTTACAGCGAGAAGCTATTGAACCCCACTTACTTTATTACCAGCAGTATGAAATAGGCATATTGGTCATTTTCCCATAGTGGCATGATGAGATCTATTAAAGCATATAACATGGAGGAAACTGAGTGAATATCCACTCATTATTATTAGGGAGCAGATCTGAGTTTGGTTGTACAGAGCATAAACTCATTTTCAACACGTGGCCTCACCTTTCCCACTCACCCATGCTGGGCTCTCCTCGTGCAGTAGATTTCATGCCCATTTCAACTGCAATGCTTACATGAGGTGTTAAAGCCTTCCTGACAATGAGATAAAGCCTTTCAAACAGAATCACAGAATGGTTTGGGTCAGAAAGGACCCTAAAAATCAGCTCGTTTCAACCTCCTGCCAGGGGCAGGGACACCAGGAGCAGGTACATCAGTACCTGTCTTCCCT